CTAGTGCCTTTATTATTTACTGATCTTAATCTTGATAAGTCAATAATTATGACAATAAATAATTAATGCTGAAACAGTAAAATATACACAAATGAAACTGTTATGTCGTATTAAAGGTCAAATCGATAGGAGGTCCAAGTATCTCAACAATAAAACGTCAATAATTTTATATTGGTAAATTTCTTTTTCCCGTCCTTATCACATCTTCTGAAGCTAATGATGCGGAAACGTAGGCTTAGCGTTCTGTATTCCAAAAACCTATTTTATACTTGAAGGAGGGGTCGATTTGTATTTTCATCTTGTGTGGGTGAATCAGAAGTTACAACAATTAAAACTGAGTTTGAATTTGAACAAAACTTAGGAAGTCTTCACTTTAAAATCATTATTATACACAAAGTATCAATGACAAAAATTCATAAAGTTATTTAAGTACAACTTTCCTCACCTTTAAAGCACATGTTTTTTAGTAAAGGTGTGGTTAATGATAGGATGGTGGAGGTAAACACCTTAAATCGATATATACATTGTGGTACTAGTCATAAAGGCATATAAAATATATCATAAAAAATATAAACCTATTATTCAAGCACAGATAAAAAAAAAACAAATGGCTCAAGTTGGAAAGATGAAATAATGGAATTCTTATATGACAATGACCTCTACATGCAAGAAAAGTGAATGCTTGAGGTTCTTAGAACTCATATACCGTGATGTTTTTTTTTTTCTCTGAACATAGGATAATTCATGTATGTTCGGTTGCATATTCATACTCCAATGGATTGATTTGGACTTTTAAAAATTGAACATAAGATTCGTAATAATTGAGGAGTAGGCCATGTCAACAATGACATTTGCATTACAATTTTTGACGAAATTGTTTTAAAAAGGTCAATAACGTAAATTTTCTGTTCTTTAAACTTGTTACAACTTATTACCATACCTTAACATGAAGACAGTGCCAAATGTCAATGGCAATATATTTGACATGACCTAAAACTCGATCAGATTTTATGTTCAGTTTTTAAAAGTCCAAGTCAATCCATTACAAGCAGGTATGCAACCAACTTAACATTAGTTATCCTATGTTCAGAGAAAAAAAACCTCACGGTATATGGCAATGTGTATTACACAGAACAAATTACGGAAAAACTTAATATTTAGGCTACTACCATATTATTGCGTATTTAATGTAATTGAAGTGATTTAGGCAAATTGAAACTACACATTCAGAAAAGAAACAGCATTAATTGCGAAGCAAGTGTAAAAAAGATAAGTGTTTCTAGTTGGGAAAAGTGAGTTGCACGCTTCATAAAACTAAAATAAAAATACAGCAAAATAAAGCGCAAAAACTAATTATTTCTTTAAATGATACTAACTACGATTCCACTGCTTTCAAAATGTTCTTTGCTTGTAGGGACCTTTTAAGAAATGCCTATTTATTAGGATTCTTATTTCAGATTTATACAGAGCTTTCCTAAATAATTTTGACATCCAAGTGGGCACTGATTTGTTCCGCCTCTTTCAGAGTGTGTAACTAAGTATAATGTCAACAACGGAAATTTAGATATCATAATTATTCTGACAGATGACAATATTAAACATGATAATTATTAACGCGTTAAATATGTCTACTATTATTAAGAAGTGGCAAAACATGTTTTTTTATTTCACAGGTCACTGGATGTGAGGAATATTTATGAAAGCCCTGTACTACATGTGAACACACAAGTAATAAATTTTTAGCAGTTTTTGTCCACCACAGTGAAAACAAAAATTCGCGGCGTTATTAAAATCCGTTCTCGAGTTCGGTCCTGATATCTGCGACATGATTAACAACTCAGGCCTGTCTAGATTCGTATCCCAATTTATTGGATTCCAACCCCAACCCCAACCGTTGTATAACCCGTCAAAGTCAAATGCGCCACTCATACACAAAAATTGCCAAAGTATCAAACAACATTGTCCGTATCTAGTAATGTTTCAGATAATGTAAGAAGACGGCAGTAAGTTTTATGTGCTTAATGTGGCACTAATAGTAACAACGCAGATATATATAGAATAAGATATATCAGAAGTGCCTTCATAATGCTCTAAACATTTGTCAAAATTTACCAAAATATACTTATATACTTACGAAAACAAAAGAGAAGTATGTACATCTGTGTCATTTGACATACTCTTCCATCATCCAAAATGAATAATAGTGCTTAATATAACTCAGCAGCTGGACATAATTTTTTATTCTAAACGAATTTTCACAATAAAATTTCGTCCTATATCAAGCACGAATAAAAATAACGTGCGATTCTTTATATTTCTAATTTAGGGAGGCTAGCAGTTAAGAAACGTATGTGCATGCTCGGTGCATACAGCATACAGCTGTCAATATCAAGTACCTAAAAAGTCGAAAGTTGTTTTGACAGAACTCCCCTCGCACCTAAAGTACAATGAAACTACTCTAGCATTATCCTGTTGAGTTTTTTCTTTACACAATTTTGCGATGATGTCATCAACATTTTTGCAAGGACACGTATATCAACTTGGTTTGGTGCAGTGTAATACTAAAAATAACAGTATTGTATTGCCAAAATTTTCTGAGAAAATGAAGTGAGCTGTTCCTGATTTAATGAATAAAATAAAATGACTCATTCATTAATTTTTTTGAGCCACCTATATAACCAGATCTAAAAAATATGAATGCAGTGATAAATCACAAGTAAAAACTCATCAAAATTTGCACATTTTGGGTAGAATTTATTCGGAAAAATTTTGATATGACGTCATCAATTACAGATAGATTTTGATTAACAATTTAAACCATGTTTTCAATAACTTTAAAACGTCATCAAAATGTCAAAGTATTCAGTTTTGCAATTCTTGATTTATTCAGTAAAATAAATTGACGTAGTCATTAATTTTTTGAGACATCCCGTATAAGCAAATATAAAAATATTAATGCAATGATCAATTACAAGAACTATAGATGCATCATATTTTGCACATTTAAGATAGGATTTGTTCAGCAAAATTTTAAGGTGATGTCATCAATTTTTTAGGGCGGATGAGCAAATACATTTTCATCAAAAATTGACCATGCTTATGACAACTTTAACACATCTCCAAGATTTCAAAACAATCGGTTTTGCAGTTCCTGAAGTAACGTTATCACATTATTGGTGGGGATTATTAGACAAATTTTGGTTAGCGTTTTACCATCTACAGACAGACAGACAGAAACGGGAGACCTACTTCTTCATACTCAAGGGGTCATGAAAGGTCGAGGAAAGGTAAAAGCAGAGAGTGGGCCGACGGACTCGCACTTGGCAGAAATCTATAAATCATTAAAAATTTATCGCGGTGAATGAATAGTGAAATTAAGGTAGTGCTGGCACTTGAAGTGAGACACATTGTATATATTATGAGATTAAAATTTAATCTAATAGCGTATAAGTTCTGTTTAATACATCCTATACGCCACAAATTCATTATAAAATTCTAAATTAATATTAATATAATTTAATTTTTAATTCCTCAAAACAAGAAATTGTTCCCCACGTAACGTTCATGCAAACTTTCATGTTTCGTGTCTTCTAAGTATTAGAAAAGTAGCGTGTCTGAATTCGTATAACGTTTTACATATACTGTGAATTATTATATCATACTTAAATTACGCAAATGTCTTTTCTTGTCAGACTTTACTAAGAATTACTTATGTTTACATATAACTAATGCTTAATGAAGTACTATGCTTAGTTATTTTTCAAACCTAATAACCGTCCGTAATTAAATATCAAGATCGGTGCAGTGTTAACAATTTTCGTTAATTTTAAATTCAGGCAGTTCTTTAGATCATAAAACTTACAAAATGTTGAGCTACAATTTCAAAAGCAAACATCACCCGAGGATATAATAAAAGTTTTCGGGTTAATTTTATTAATTAAGATGTAAGTATACTATAAAACCGGATAAAACACAGATTCAACGACATGTTGACACATACGTAATAGCATTAAATTTGATTTCTTTTAGTTTTTAACAAAAAAATATTCGGCCATTATTTCAAATATGGTGGCCAGTTTGTACTAGTCAACATTTTGTTAAATATAGTTTTCACCGTTTCCACTAATCAAGGAAGTAATGTGTCTTAAGTAGTATAGAAGATTACATACAATAAGTATATGAATCATAACAAAATCAATAAACTGGCTACTGTGCGATTCACAATAAAACAAAGCCTACTGAAACAAAAATCGTGCAGTTTTCTAAGGGAGGATTAATAAGAAAATTAACAAGAAATTTTGCTCAATTGGTCTACTGAAAATTTAAAAGCGATACCCTAAAGCATTGGGCTTAAGAAAAACTGTCTCCAGCTATAAATGCGATTTAGTCAAATTTCAATTCTAAGTTTCCTTAAAAATATCGTTACAGTATGAAAGGTTTTTTATCTCTGTGTAAAACATGCAATGAAAATTTTCAATGACTGTTTAAAACAATTAAATTTAAATTACCAATGTCATCTAAAAGTTTTCAAGTTTCTATCTAAAACATAACTCACATAAAAAAATTTTACCAGTTCAGTTGTTTTATCCTGATTTTTTTATTAAACTTGCCAAATGACTGTATAATTTAGAAAAATCTAACAAAAACACAGTTAAAAAAAATTGTTTGACGTAATCGCAATTTACATTATTAATTAAAATGTAATTACAATTAGGCACGTGTTTTTGCGGATAAGTGCGATTACATTCTTCAAATATTTTGTTTTCAAAATATATAAGCAATGTTCTCGCAATCAGAACAAAGTGGTGAAAAAACTGAGTGAGTCTGTTAAAAAACACTCGTTTCGGATATACTCATAAATAAATAGTATATTGACACGACTACCGACGTGTTTCAACAGGTAGCCTTTTGACAAGATCCACTGGTGCGAAAAAATGAAACATCGCCAAACCTCCTACTAATTAAAATTTTTGAGTAACCTATAAAACAGGTAAACAAACCTTGTTTGGAGTATCTTCAATTTGTTGAGGAATAACCGTCCAAATTTGATCTTGTCGAAAGCACATGCAGGTAGAAAAGGGAAACATCATTAGTTTACGAACACCAAACTAAACACAAAACAATAGAAACTGTCAAATAATTTAAACAAGTCGTACGATGTTCAACCGGCAGATGAAATTCACGTCATATCCTTTTGTTGTCACGATAGTCACGTTGTTCTAGCTGTATGGGGGCGCCACAAATACAGAGCAACAGCGTGATATCCCTTCCAAGAATCGCAGGATCGATAAATGGGGTATTCCTTTGAAAAGCCAAAGGATTTGCAGAGCTTAACTTTTATGCGCTTGATTGTGCAAACAATTAATTTCGTGATGATAAATGATTGAAGTCCATCTTTCCGGGAAAAATTTAATCTCGAACAATAAATGAGAAAAGAAAATATTTACTGTTTTAATCCATATTGAATTTTATTTTCTGACAGTGTTTTGTGAACATTAAAATCTGACGCACGTGGTCAGAGGTCGACGAACTGTTCTTTGACATGGCGTTCTATTGCATTTTCAAGATCAATTAACCTACTTCTAAATCTTTTCTACATTCGCATAGCAACATTATAATGCAATTTACATTTCAGAACACCTACACGCAATAAATTAATAGCTTTCCTTTAATCTCCATAATATCTTTTGTGTTATCATTACATACAGTCAATTTTCCATTTTGTGTGCATTTTTATCGTCTGAAGAAAGTAAATATTAGAATGTAGGCACTTAATACAGTTACGTCAATTGTAATGATTTTCTATTTTTGTCTGACATTATATTTTTACAAGTTATTTATTGAAACATATTTCTAAAATAGCTAAATCAATAAATCAAATTCTGCTAAACCAATTAAGCAGCATTAGTTAATTGACAATGAAAAGCTATTACTAAATATCTATAAAGGAATAAACATTACAACAGAAAAATTTTAATACATAATGTTACGATTGACGGACGAATAAATCGGGTGTTGGTAAAACTCAAAAAATTTATTTCTTCAGGTCGAATTACAACACTATCTATTGCGACGAATATGTACAGAAATTATTCCGGCGCTCTCGACTGTCTTCACTGGATGAATGAATCCATTACCTACGGTCGCCTCTATTTAAACCCATAGTCTCTGATCGAGATCCTTCACGAACATCCATCGCGACTCCGCTTCGAGACTCCCCTGGACGCCGCTTCGAGACGCTCCAGACCTGTCTTTATGCGCCCGCCTCTCGGCCGTCGACAACAGCGATGATTCACCCATCAGCGCCGTGCGTACGTCCAGAAGGCTCTCGACCGCCATAGGCGTCGTACTGGGGCGGCGTAAGGGTGTATTTCGTAACACTGCCCCCCTCTTCAAATCCGATCGTCCCGATCGGAAGCGTCTTCGTTGTTTCCTTCGTACCGTTTTAGTCGATCGAGATGAACGATCTTCATCTTCGTCTTTGGTCCACGTTGGATCCGATAAACTACGTCATTTATTCTAGTGACGATAGTGTATGGACCTTCCCAGTCAGGAGCCAGTTTTGGGCAACGTCCCTTCTTCCGTCGGGGGTTATACAGCCACACTAAGTCATCTTCCTGGAATCCGCCACAGTTGGCCTTCACATCATAACGGGTCTTCATTCGGTCACTGGCAATCTTGATCCGGCCCCTCACTAGTTCATGCACGTTGACCAACTTCTCTTTCAGTTCGTCCACGTAGTCACGTACTTCCATTGGTTCTTCGGATGGCAATCCAAAGACTAGGTCACAGGGCAGCCGCAGTTCCTTCCCAAATACAACGTGAGCAGGTGTTTGGCCCGTGGTGTCGTGGATAGCTGCGCGGTAGGCCAGCAGGAATAGTGGAAGGTGCTGGTCCCAATCCCTTTGGTGCTCTTCTACCACTTTCGAAAGGTGTTGCTCCATAGTCCGATTGAACCTTTCCACCATGCCGTCGGACTGTGGGTGCAGTGGCGTTGTCCTTGTCTTACGTATTCCCAGTAGCTGCATCACTCTTTGGAAGACGTTGGATTCGAAATTGCGTCCCTGGTCTGAGTGAAGTTCCAAGGGGACGCCAAACCTACTGATCCAATTGTCAACCAGTACTTTCGCGACCGTGACGGCTTCCTGATTTGGAATGGCATAGGCATCTGGCCACTTGCTGAAGTAGTCGCTAGCCACCAGGATAAACTTGTTGCCGTCGTTTGTTACAGGGAACGGACCGGCCACATCGATGGCGATTCTTTCGAAAGGTGCCCCAACATTATATTTCTTCATCTTTCCCCTCGCCCTGGTATGAGGACCTTGGCTGGCCGCACACGTCGTACACTTGCGACACCAACTTTCGACATCGTCACGATGACCTACCCAATAAAACCTCTCCCGGATTTTCGACAAAGTTTTGTTCACTCCGAAGTGGGCTCCAGATGTTCCGGCATGAACTTCCTCTAAGACCTTGGAAACCTTTACCTTGGGGAGGACCAGCATCGTCTTAGAGGTACGCCCATCAGGACTCTCCCACTTTCGCTTCAAGAGCCCATTTTCCATGACCAAGGAATCCCATTGGGCCCATAACGCCTTCAAACTGGGGGATTGGTCGGACAATTCTGCCCAGCCGGGTCGTTCGACTCCTTCCTCCTTCCACTTAGTATTGGTCCGATTATGTCGTCTGCTTCTTGCTCACGCTTTAACCGCGCCGTTGTCCATTCTTCATCTTGCTCAAAAATCGTCCGACGAACGGGCAGGTTCCCTTCTTCCGCGTCGATCCTGTCGCAGTGCTTGCACTCTCCACACGGACGTCTTGACAAAGCGTCAGCGTTGTTGTGAAGTCGACCCGCTCGGTGTTTGATCCTAAAGTGGTACTGCTGTAGTCTTTCCAGCCAACGCCCTACTTGGCCCTCGGGATTCTTTATACGCAGTAGCCACGAGAGGGCAGCGTGGTCGGTCCTGATCAGAAACTCCTGTCCGTATAGATACTTGTGGAAGTGGTTGACGGCTTTGACAATGGCTAGCAGTTCCTTCCTTGTGGCACAGTAATTTCTCTCTGGTTTGGAATGTAATTTACTAAAATATTCGATAACCCTTTCCTCCCCATCTTGTATCTGCGACAATACGGCCCCAACTCCCGAGTTACTCGCATCGGTATCGAGGACGAACATTCCTTTGTCCCTGGGGTAAGCCAAAATGGGGCTGGTGCACAAAGCCGTCTTCAGTCTCTTAAAGGCCATCTCACATGTACTGCTCCACTTGAAAGTCGCCTTCTGCTCCGTCAGTTGGTGTAACGGTGCTGCGATGTCGGCATACCCTTCTACAAATCGTCGGTAATATGTGCAGAGTCCCAAGAAGCTTCGTAGTTCATGCTTGTCTCTTGGTATGGGCCAATCCCGGATAGCAAGAACTTTCGTCGGGTTGGTTTCTATTCCTTTCTCCGACACGATATGGCCCAGGAATTCGACTCTTTTCTGGAAGAGCGAGCATTTCTTGGGATTTAGTTTCAAACGAGCCTTTTCCATTCGTTCTAGCACCTCCTCGAGATTCTTCAGATGGTCGTCAAACGTTTTGCCCATAATCATGACGTCGTCGAGGTATACCAGACAGGTCTTCCATGTCAGTCCTTTTAGCACCATCTCCATCAGCCGCTCGAATGTTGCTGGCGCATTACATAACCCGAAGGGCATAACGGTGAAGTGATAGAGGCCACTTCCGGTGGAGAACGCAGTCTTTTCTTTGTCGTCCGGGTGCAAGCCTACTTGCCAGTAGCCACTCTTCAAGTCCAAGGTCGAAAACCACGCCGAGCCGGATAAGGTCGTCAAGGTATCGTCTATTCGAGGAAGGGGGTAACTGTCTTTCTTCGTGACGTCGTTCAGTTTCCTGTAATCGACGCAAAATCGGGTAGTCCCGTCCTTCTTGGTAACCAAGACTACTGGAGATGACCACGCGCTGTTGGATTCTTCAATTACCCCATCTCTCAACATGTTGTCCACGAGTCTTGTAGCTTCTTCTTGTTTGGCTAGGGGTAGTCTTCGAGGAGCCTGACGGATCGGTTGCGTGTCACCAGTGTTTATTCGGTGTTCTACGATGTTGGTCTTCCCGAATGGTTCCTCCTCTGAGGCGAAGACATTACGGTGCCTACGAATGAGTCCTTTGGCCAGTTTTCTCTCACGAGCAGACAGCTGGTCCCAGTTGACCTCCAAGCCTTTGGTATCCCCTTCCTTAGACTCATTCTCAACGTCTTCTTCCTCGCAGTTCAATACTCGGGCGACTGGCTCACACATTCCGATAATCTCCCCTTTTCTAATATTGACTGCATTGGGAAACACGTTTGCCACACGTAAGGGTATGTCACGATCGGTTTTGACTAGGGTGCTCGCGATCAGGAGCTTGTGGGTCGAGTCATGTGCCGGCTGCACCATCCCCAAACTGTATCCGGGGTTCGTCTCTACTCTGGCGGGGACGATGACTTCTGCATTACCATCTACCTTCGTTGTCTGACAGACCACTAGTCTGACTGTTGCAGCTTCCACATTCGGACGTCCCAACACAATTCTTCGGCTCCGAAACGCAGAATTTTCTGTTCTGGGTCGATCATTAAACCATACCGGCTGATTAGGTCCATACCCAGAATGAAATCGTCAGCGATTTCCGCCACCAGAACTTCATGCTTTATTCGGAGTCGACCGAGCTCTACATTCACCACCGCTGTACCCAGAACCGGTGTTGTTTCTCCCGTGACCGTCTTCACATTCGTGGCGGTACGTACTGATTTAATTTGGCAATTTTGTAACCTGGATCTGCGTGCAAGGGACACTTCGGCTCCTGTGTCGATGATGATCTTCGATTCCCGTCCATTGATTTTTCCGCTGATTGTCGGACTGTCGACGCTCCCCGCGATACTTCTAACCATTACAGTTGTTGGGGCTTCTCTTTTAGCAGCCAGTACGCGCCCCGAGATACCGACTGCCTTTAGTTTTCCTGCTCCTGATATAGACGAGGTCGCGGCTGCGATCTCCTCATCGGCCCTGGCGATCTAACACGGCAATCCCTCCTAACATGCCCTTGACGCCCACACCTGTAACATTCTAGGCGCCCTCCATGTTGTCTAGAACTGCCCGTCTTGATTTCGGCAATTATTTCGCGGGCGAGTTTCTCAAAGTTCTCGCTCATTTTG